TAAATATTTAATAAAAGCAACTATATTGTAGATGCTGAATCAGCCCAGCAAACCAAGCCATTAATGAACACTGGCTCGGTTTTTAAAATTCTTCTAGGCCAAAGAGAGAGGGTGGTGGAATCACAGAACTAAGTGCCTTAGCATAGCTTTTAGATTTTGGTAAAATATGAAGAAAATGACTTAGCACGCACAGAAACACAATTATAGATAATGACTAGCGAGGAATACTGCTCAGAGTGTTTCATTTAAAGTACAAGGAAGTGGACTCTTCTACTTAATGTACCAAACTGTGTCATGGGGTCAGTAGTAAAAAGTCTTAAACTCAGGGCCCAAGTGAGTTCATCACAGCCACTTCACAACCTTTAAACAGCACAAGGTGAGGAGCACAGTCCAATGGTGTCATCATGTCCTTTTTCTACTACTTACATTTTAGTAAGAATTGTAAGGTAACTTCCACTAAACACAGTGAGTCTTGGGATCTGTGACAGGCTCATTTCAGGAACTCTTGGAATTCAAAGTCTACAGATGCTCAAGTCTCAAATAAACATATACAGTCTTTGCATGAATATACTCTTCCTTTTATCATATCTATTTAGATAATTATTCTAATATCTAAAAAATGGTGCTATATCATTTTATTTAGTGAGTACTGATAAGAACAATGTCTGCAAATTTTAGTATAGACATCATTTAATTTTTTATCCATAGTTTGTTGATTCTTCAAATTCAGAATCTGTGAATGCCCACTGTCAGTACTAACAAATAATGCTAACACATTTTAAAGCATTCAGTAAATTTTAAAAGTTATTGCTGTTGTTTTTTATTACTCTTAATTATATTTATTTAATTTTTTGTTTATTTTTTTTATTTGAGACAGGGTTTCTCTGTGTAGCTTTGGTGCCTGTCCTGGATCTTGCTCTGTAGACCAGGCTGGCCTTGAACTCACAGAGATTAAAGGCATGTGCCACTCGTGCCCGACAGTACTTATTTTTTATTAGTTAGTATTAGTGTCTACAACACTTCTTTTACACATTGGACAAATTTTCGATGATGCCAGGACATAATATGCCTTTTTAGTTAAGTGAGAACATCAATTGATTCTCTTATACTTGTGATACAGTGCTTGCTGTTGGCCGAGTCTTCTTTTGTCTCCCACATCAGTAGTAGAAATAAGACCTATTAGACAAATAAAAAGAGTGGCTGTCAGTGATTTTGCAACAAACTATCATTCAACAGCAGTAGGCAACTCAGAGCATGATGATGAATGATGAAAGAACCCTGTTTGGATGTTGTCAGTAGAATCAGAATAGTCCAGTCCTAGTAGGTTTCCAATGTTATAAACACACTGGAGACATTTACTAATAAAGCTATGAGGCAAGGCAGAAATCTAAGATCCGTTGAAGAACAAGTCTAAAACTGCAATATGTCTCAAGTGGTTCCTAGGATATGAGACAAAAGTAGTCATCTCCTGTGTTCTGTCTAATTGCAAAACCCACATTGACAACTGGAAACTGGGAAAAGGTCTTGAGAAATAAACAAGAAATTATTTTTGAACTAAGAAGAGGTTAGAGAAACTATTGTCAAGTCTATGTAACAGCACATCTCACAGCCCTGAAGGTGAGCGAAGTGCTATTAATACAGATAACCAAATGCATAGTATGACTTCCAGATGTGACACAGAGTGTAGAGGATAGTAGAAAGGCAGGTCATGGTGGAGCAAGAACAGTTTTTATGTATGGTAATAGGATCCTAATAGTTCAAACATTATAAAAACATAGTTAATAATCCTATTGCCACCTTTTCTCTAAAACTGACTATAAGAGTCTGACTCAAATGGTGAAAAGGAATTGAAGGCATAGCATTGCATCTTTTCTGTCTCCTAGGTGATGTGTGTGAGAATGCCCAGGTGGATACTATGTTTGCAAAGGACAACCAGGTGATTGACAGAACCTCTGTGATGGAAAAGGATTGTTGGGTTGTTGCAAGTACAGATTAATTACACTTTATCTTGGACTAAGTGGTCATTCCTTGCCCTGTTCTGTGTGGGACCTATTATACTGTGACTAGCAGATAATATCCTGACAAACAGATAACAAGTTTTGGAATGTATTAACTTAACAAAACTCCATTTTTCCCCTACTGAAAGGACTAATCCTGTTGTCAGATAGCATCTAAGGCCTATAGCAGAGTTCCCCATCTCACTATAAACTGCCTACCTGATATGAGCACCAATGTATTTGAAAAGTGTCTTGATTTGTGTCTTTCTTTGTTCTGTTGCTATAAAAAGTTCATGAATTGCTACCTCAATGAAACATGTAAATTGAGGTGATCTAAATCTGTGTTCTTAGGCTGTGATCACTCATATTTTGTTCCAAAATAAACTGTCTGTTTTAACTCCTTTGAGGTAAGAGCTGTCGTGTTGCTTAGAGAGAGCTACTCATGGGGTACCAAGCACACACACACACACACACACACACACACACACACACACACACACACC